AACTAATACTAATCAGCCCTAACTATAAGCTTTATCAAAAAGGAAGGTCTTAAGCGCACTCTTAAAAACGGATAGGGTGTCTGCCGTCCGAACACAAACTGGAAGCTGATTCCACAAAAGTGGAGCTTGATAAGAAAAGGCTCTGGCTCCCATTGTACTTTTAGAGACTCTAGGAACAACCAACAACCCTGCATTCTTGGAACGCAATGCCCTAGTAGGACAATAGGGTATAATGAGTTCTTTAAGGGAAGATGGCGCCTGCCCATTAAGGGCTTTGTAGGCGAGAAGAAGAATTTTAAATTCTATCCTGTGTTCTATAGGGAGCCAGTGTAAGGCAGCCAGAACAGGAGTAATGTGGTCCCTTTTCCTAACTCTGGTTAGTACACGAGCTGCAGCATTTTGAATCACTGAAGCGACTTGACTGACTTCTTGGTACACCCTGATAATAAGGAGTTACGATAATCCAGCCTTGAAGTAACAAATGCATGGACTAGTTTCTCTGCATCGTTTTGAGGCAAGATATGCCTGATTTTTGCAATGTTACGTAGATGGAAGTAGGCGGTCCTTGAAATTGATTTTATGTGGGCGTTAAAGGATAAATCCTGATCAAATATAACACCGAGATTCCTTACAGTCTCACTGGAGGACCAAATTAATGTCCATAGTATATATATATATAATCCATAGTTAGTATATCTTTAGATAATTTGTTTCGTAGATTCTTTGGGCCAAGTACAATAACTTCAGTTTTGGTCGTGTTTAACATCAAAAAATGTAAGGTCATCCACGTTTTTAAGTCCTTGAGGCAGTCTTGAATTTTATTTAGATGATTAATTTCATCAGGCTTGATTGATAAATATAGTTGAGTATCATCCGCATAACAATGAAAGTTTACAGAATGATTCTATGATATATCATATTTGAATCCACTTTAATAAAAAAATGACCCCTGTGTCCTATTAATAATAGTGTTACGTCTGTTATAATCAAAACTACAATATATGTTTCTCCTTAAAGCTGTTTCACAGTATCTTCAAGCCACTAAGGATGTCCATCATGTCGGAAGTCGCCCACCTGCCCTCCATGACGCCCCCTGCACCCGGTTACAACTCCACCTCTGGCCTCCTGACCACCCCCAAACTACTCCCATGGGAGGAGGCGCACATGCAAGTGCACACCATCCTTATTGTCATCATTTTTTGTGTTGTTTGCTTCCTACTCCTGCTCGCCTTTTTCTACACCTTCTGCTTCCACTGCTCCATCAGTTCAATACCTAAAGACTCGCACGCAGCCAACGAATACAGCCAAGAGCGCGAGGACACCACCTACAAGTGCAGTTCTTCTGATAACCAATCAGCAGGGAACATTGTCTGATTGGTTCACTGGACCCGAATAATGGCCATTCGACTGTCTATCAATGTTTTTGTGTCAGCATCACACTATAGTAGCAAGTATACGTGCACTGTGAGGCAGAGAGTATTAACCTTCCATAAACCATGTGTGAAATTTGAAACATTGCTTGTACTCTTAAATTTAATTTCATAGTGATTTGTCCGTGGGTTAGAGCCATGGTTGAAGAGGAACAGGGTTTTATGACAAAAGATAATCAGCAAAAATGCGAGTATGATTAATTTTGAAGCTCAAATACAAGTGCATTGGGTGCAGGTACAATATAAACATATCCATATCTCCATAGAGAAATGTGTTCAATAAAGAAAAGTGTAAAATAAATGTATATAGGCCTACAGTATATAACCATGAGTCTGAATGCCAGTGCCTTTGAGTGACAAGACAAACAATAACAAAGGGATGCACACACGGCTCAGCTCACTTTATTTTCACCGATCTGACAACATTTACATTGAGCTGTGGCTGTGTATTTGACGAGACTGATATAGAACAATGAATCTAGACGTTCAGGAGGAAGAAGCGAAGAGGAACAGAGGGGAGATACAAAGTGATGTCTTCCTAGGATGAAAATGAGATCTCAAATGTACAATGTGCAGCCGAACAAACAGGATATTACTGAGCTTGTGTCTGAACTGCTTGGCAGTGACCGCTCTTGGTTTGAAAACATGTTATGGGTACACAACAAACTTTTTGAGACATTTGCTTTGAATGGACTCGTGTGAGGTAATTATTGGATAAGCAGCTGCTCACATAAACTGATCTAGTGTGAAATTAACAATGATGTTATGATTTATTTTTGTATTGTCTGAGCAAATTAAGCACTGTTGATTTCACTGTGCAACGTAACACCACGCAAGGCCGCTAACATTTTCAAGCATTACAGACTAGGCCATATACAAACAAATTGTCATAAGACATTGACATTCAGAGAGTTGTAGAAACGTAACATTTAACTGAAGTACTGGTTAGAGCCTCAGCAAGCATGCGTTGGGTTCACGACATGGCGCACGTGGCACTCTTGGAGCAGGGGGAGTCACAGGAGCTGTCGGGGGACTCAATGATGGAGTCTCTGCCGTCGGACTCAGGGGAGTCCAGTTCAAGGTGAGTGTCCTGGAGGCCGTCCTGCAAAGCATTCTTATAGTGAGACTGGGGAAGGAACAGATTGTCTTATCGCACCAATAACAATGGCACTAATAGAGAAGATAAACCGAGTGAAGGGTATGGATTAGAAGAAAATTAATAAGAAGTTATTGTTGAATCTAGGAATCTTTATAAATCTGCAGTATCAGGTCTAAAACCACCAGACTCAGGGACAGTTTCATCCCACAGGCCATAAGACTGAACTTTTGAAAGAACATCCATAACATTCATTAGTTTGCAACTTACAAATTATTTATCTAATATTTCATATTCCAATTACTTGTATATAGACTCTACTTGCACTATTTCTATTCTATTTTTATTTGTTTTATTGTGTTGCACTGTTGGAGGAGCCTGTGACCTAAGATTTTCATTGATATCTACACTGTAGCTATGCACACATTACAATAAAAGCCTTGAATCTTTTAATCCCACTCACCTTATGACCCGGCATCTGTTCCACACGGTGCTCCTCCATGGACCCCAGAGAATGGCCTGTAATCTCCATCTTGATACAATGAGAGCGAATAGACTTCACATCATCTTTGTCCCGCCCTGCCACCGACGGGGGACCCTGGGGATAAAGGCAGAAGGAGACTCAGGGAATCAGAGAGGATGATAATGATGGTGGCAATGAAGCAAATGAGAGTGTTAACCATTCAAGGATGTCTTGGTTTAATCATTACCATTCCCTCCTCATCTCTTCTGGCCTCAGGGCCGGAGATGTTGGCATTGCTGATGGTCTGGGTCCCAAACTGAGGACACGCCGCCTGAGCGTTCCCGTCTTTGTCCCTCTTTCCTTTCAGCCAGTAGGTCTCAATTTCAACATTCCCCTAAAAATGGACAGAGAGTGATAAACGTTAAGATTCAGGTTTGGACCTAAAGGGGACTGACTGACTTACAAGCAAATATTCAAAGACGTATTCTGGAAGGCACCATTTCTGTTATAGAGAGGAGGGAAATGGCATGTGGCAGATTTCCAATAATCAGAATTCCCTGATGAAAAATGAGTCGCTCTTGCTAACTCGAGATTGGCACCTGTAATCAGCTGCCTCAGGAACCTTTTAGAAGTCACTTTGCTGGCTTTATCACTGAACGTACGGCCTCAGAGTCAGACCCAGCGATAAAATAGACTGACAAATCAACAAGCAAGCAGCGATAAGCAGCTCTGAATACTAAGTGTGTAGACTCCCCAGAGCCAAACATTGGGGGTTATTATTATTTCATATAGTTCTTAGATTCAGAAAGGTTTACTATGTCTGGATGCTGATGCACAAACTATTCCGTTAACACAGCTTACAGATTCAATGTTTCGATCGCTGCTGTGTGTTCTTCATATGTTCGACACCAAATCATATTATCACACGTTGTCATAGTGGATGGGTAAGATCAATCAAATGTGGCGAGTGTAGTTTACAGCTTTGACTCCTGACCTTGATGGTTATGGTGCCCCTCCTTTCAAAAATAAAGTGACTTCCTTTCAGGTGCTCGTAGGTGGCGCTGCTGAGCTGAATGTGCATCTCCTGAGTGAGATAAAGGAAGACCAGGCCATTAAAACAAAATCACAGAAACTCTTGACTCTAGTCATCATATGTACATTAGGCATAACTTCCCCTACCTTTCCATTGCTCTCCATGGCAGATGCAGTGTGCACCGTGTCACCGTGGAGACCGTAACGTGGCATCTTGTGTCCCACCACACCGGCCACCACCATTCCTGAGTGGATCCCTGCAAACAGAACCACAAGCAGCTTACAACACTCAAAGTCAAACACAGACATAAACACACAAACAGATCCACACTCGTTGTACGCACCAACACGAATCTGTATGTGGTTGCCGTTGGAGGGGTCTTTCAGGTGATCTATGGAGCGCACCATGTCCAGGGCCATGTCACAGATGTTGTGAGCATGATACTTGGTCTTCTCCGGAGCCCCGGCCACAACCATGTATGCATCTCCAATAGTTTCAACCTAGATAAGTAAAGAACAGCAGCTTGTATCAGCAGCTCTAACATACAAAGTGTGATAAAAACTAAAATCACGCACAAACCTTGAAGACGCGGTGCTTCTCGCTGAGCGTGTCAAACAGCGTGTACATGGTGTTCAGCATGGAGACAACTTGCATTGGTGTGATGTGGCTGCAAATGCGAGTAAATCCGACAACGTCGCTAAAGAGAATGGTAACATCTGGGAACACCTGGCAGAAAAGACATAAGAGAGTTGATGAGTGTGTTCAGTCAGCAAGTCGCTATGTATCATGGGAAAGAAGGAAAAACAGCTTTTACCCTTTGATGCAGGACTTAACTTTTAATCAAACAATCGAGCCAAAGTTTTTGATATTTGGTGCATGTGGGTTCAAGATGATTTGAGAAGTATGATATGATATTTACATGTCTTTCGTGCCTGTACAATGAGTATAAATGTACAGCTTCAGCTTAGTTTAGCAGGACTAGAAACAGTGGGGAACATACTGTATGGCCCTGTCCAAAGATAACTAAATCTGCCAAACAGCAGGATTTTGTTACCTTGGGACAAAGCCAAGCTATCTGTTCCCCCTGTTTACAGTGTTTCTTGCTAAGCTTGCCTCCATACTTTCTGTAAAGCCATGAGAGTGGTATCAATCTCCTATTACGTTGTTTCAAAGAAAGACTGTCTTGTTTTTGGTAGATTGTGGTGTTAAATCACAGGTGAACAGTGTATTTATTTACACAGAGTGGCATCATTTACAATCCTGACCTCACAAGTGTTCACAGCCGGCTCTCCTTTGCGCAGCCTTTTAGCCACTGGCTTGGGAATCATCCTGTACAGGAGGTCATCAGTCTTCTTCATTTCATAGTCCAACATCTTCATGCTCTCTTCCAGCTTACTCGACTTCTTTTGCTCCTGTGTCACAGTGGGGAGTAAGACAGAATAACACTTTTAGCTTGCATCTCTTTCTTTCATCTCAAGTCTGCGGGTGGTGACTGACTTGGGGCTGCCAGACTGAAAGAAGGGCTTCAGAACAACTTTGCATTATGCAGAGCGTCAAGTGAGATGATCACACGTATAAAATGCAGATGCACGTCGGCAGAGTGAACCTGTATGAGAGCTCTCTTCAGCTCCTCTGACTGCTGCGTGCCCGCAAGCACCAGGTCTCTGCTGGAGTCGTGCATGCTCAGGTCATTGATGTACAGCCCCGTCTTAAACATAGCACTCAGACTTTCCATCCTACACACACAAACAGACAGTTAAAGGAAAAGGAAAGGCCAATCACACATTGATGATGCTTATGATATGTGGTAATATAATACTGAACCTATATAGAAATAGCAGTATTGATTACAAAATAATACAGTATTTGTAATGGATCTTATTTTTAGTTTAAGTATACATTATTAATTCATGTGATGTGGCATTTTACATTTTGCTAATGTTGTCAATACATGCATAAGGGCATGTGCTTGCAAAACAAAATGTTTACAGAAGAGGAGAGAGATGTTTTGGTAATGTACTCGCTGGAAAACACTCTTGGTTGCAAATGGGTTCCCATTAGGCTCACAAGAGCTGCACTGTCTGATTACAAGCTAATTAGCAGCTCATTTCATGCATGGTAAGTGCTGTTAGAATGGCCCCCTGATTTGATTCACTGCCCAGGGTTTTATTTCCAGACTCGTAATTCAGTTTAGCTCTTGCTGCTTTTTAGAATGTTTTACCTTTCAACTGCGGCGTTTTAATAAAAATCTGTGTGTGTGTGTGTGTGTGTGTGTGTGTGTGTGCGTGCGTGCGTGCGTGTGTGTGTGTGTGGGGGGGGGCTTACACAGGGGTTCCCAGGAAGATGATGGACTCCCACTCTGGCATGTATCTCATTTGTCCTTTCAGTTTTAGGCAGCGGCTCCCATCTCCCAAGCTCTCCATCGCATTAGCACTGTTAGCGTCTACAGGGGGCATGATGAAATGCCAACAAGACAAACATTTAGAGAGGTGTTTTGTTTAAATATCAGCAGTAGATAATAACGGCACTCTGGTAATGTCACTGTAATGTATTTGGCAGTAGATTTTTGTTCAATTTAGAATAGTTTAAAGTTTTGCAGGAGATACAGTAGTACACTTAATCACTTCAATCAAATCAACACCTCTCTTTTATCTTTATGAAGCCGGAGCCGGCAGCTGTTCATAGGGCTTTGCTTCAAGCCAAGAGGGAGTCCTGTACATAACCCCCATGACCTCATACATTGTTCTCACTTTCACTATGGCTTTTGCAAAGAAGAATGATTTAATATGTTTATTATAAAGCTTTGGAGGGGCTGGTAAGCAGGGTTGTATTACCTTTGGACTCATTCCCAAGCTAATGCTACGCTAAGCTAACCTGCTGCTTGATCCAGCTCCATATTGAAGGTACATGAGAGAAGTATTGACCTTCCTGTCAACTAAGAAGGAAGTTCACCAAGGACACAAGAATGTTTATTTTCCAAAACATCAAAGGATCTTATAAAAGTGATGTTCTTTTGTATTCTTAATGTGTCTTTAATTGGTTTTATGTTGTCATAGTAAGCGTCTGTAGGTCCAGGTCTCACAGTGTTTTGTTAGATTAAAAAAATTGTCATGACCTTTGTAATCCTCTCCAATGATGGAATGGAAAGCCATGAGCTCCACATCTACGTCAGCAGAGCGATTGGCATTTTCATAGTCAGAATCTTTGGAAAAACAGGGGAAATTGTCAGATGCGAAACATTAATATTCACACCCTCTACCCCTTGACAACTAGGGATGGGATCAGTTCCACTAAATCAATTTGAATTAACACATAAAACATTTCCATTTCTCTAACTACAT